ATTCATGTTTGATCTGCTTTAATAGTCACACACCAACAAAGAGACAAATCCATGCTTGTGGTGAAACATGGAAATCTCCAATCACATAAGGCACTTCTGATTATAAAAAGGGGAGGAGACACAGAAGTAACACCTTGTTACCTGTCTTGGTGCAAAGCAAGGAAAAAAAATAAATCAAAAAAAGGAATACAAAGGGGAAAGGGGGAAAAAGCACAATCTCCCTTCTACTCAGTAAATGAGAAATAGACACGGGGTTGGTAGAAAGATGACAACAGATTAGTACTAAATACTGTGTGTTCATTACGTAAGGCCAAGAGTGCTATATATATATATGTCTTCAAAGATTTTCATTTTAAAAGGATGCTGGATTGAATGAAACAATATATTTATTTCTACCCTACAGGGTTCACCTGTCTGACAACTCCTGCCAGTAGAAAAGCTCAGTTGCCATGGAAAGAAGTCAGTGAAAAATTACTTACTAGAATGGACTTTTTATATTTGTCATCCAAACTTCTCTGTACATATTTAGTCATTACATATACTATATAATAACCATGTTTTAACTGGTGACCATTCATAAATGTTTACTGTGGGGAAAAGAGCTCAAATGACAGCAATTCCAGTTTGAACACAAAGATCTTTGTGTGTGCATCAAGGATAATACAGTGTTATCAAAAAGACTTAACCCATCTGGGCCTCTTCATTGTTGCTTCTTTTTGTTGTTTTTGTATTTTAAATTGGCTGCTTCCCTATTTGTTTCCCAGTTCACATGCAGGAGAGTCCAGGGAGGCCTCATTACATGAGGTAAAAAGAGCTATGCCCTAACACTTACAAAAGTGCCAGGAAAACAAAACCAAACCTTCAGTGAGCATCAAGGGCTGTACATTCCTCCAGATACTCTGCCTTTAATAATACTTGAGGATTTACAAACATCTCTCTCAAAGGAGCCTCACTACTTCTTGGCCCAGCTGTCAAGCCAATTCCCTTCCATAAATCACAGACCGTGTCAATGGAGGAAATACAAGGGTCTCTGTTGGTGCTGCAGGTTTCCTAAAGACATGGAAAGAGAGAATGGCTTTAAAAGCATTTTTGTTTAGGTGCTGGGGGAAGAGGTAAAACCTGGCACATGAAGAGAAGGGATACATGTAAGCTTCTTTGTGTGTGCTATATTTTTAAGATTCACAATAAATTTGGAAAAATGCCTTAAAGAGATGGGGACGACATTTGAAAGTGAAGGTTTTGATTTGGGAAAGAGAGAAAAGAACTGTTTCTTTATGCAAATGTGACGTGAGTCACTGCATGGTTATCCGTTGTGGATTAATTCACTCTGGCGTGGAACTGCATGACTATTTGGGCTAGAAGGCTTAACATTTCAGTGTTCCCATGAGCAGAAGTTGTCCATAATGTATTCACAGTTGCAAGCCTCAGAAATTCAATTAGCCAACATATACATGGTTGAGGAAATGGCTTTCTCAAGTCATGTCAAGGGAGATCATGGGAAGAACCATATTTGGCATGTGGCTGTTCAGTAAACTGGGGCCAAGCAGTCTAAATAAAATGTGTAAAGCCATGCTCCCAGTTGCTGGGAGGAAGAGGGAAGAACAGCAGAATTTCTGCTAGTCTAGACCTATTCACCGTCAGGGTCATTGCAGAGCAGGAGCCTCCCTGCAGCTTCTGTTTCACCAAAAACTAAACAGGACAACCTTTCAGCCAAAGGACCCCTAATCAGCTTTCCCAAGATTCTTTCTTTGGGTGAAGCCTTCACCTGTGTGCAGCAGCCCTCACAGGATGCTTCCTAGAAGCAAACCAGCCCAGCCCTGCTCCCCAGTCACCACCCCTGAACCCACACAGGACATGCAGCCAGGGCTGCAACCTCACTGTTTCTTCCTCCTCCGTCTCTAAGCTTCAGCACTGGAGGACTGTATAATCAAACAGATGTTAATCATTGAGATCAAAGAGAAGTAAGCAAATGTGACAATGAAAAGACTGAAATAAGTAGAAAATGAAGTAATGAATTTTTCACACGGGCTTACAGAGCCATTATCCAAAATGCCTATGCACTGAAAACTGTCAGGGGCCACAGCCTAAAGATCCCTAGATCAAAGGAGTATCATTCAGCATATCCACAAAAAGGTTCATCTATCTGCTTCAAAATGGACTAGGCATATAATTTAAAAACAGGGTCCTGGTTTGTGCAAAAACTTTTTTTTGTATTATCTTCAATTCCCTTCTTATTGTGTTCTTACTTTGCCACAGATCTAACAGAAGGAACATCAGTAATTGCTACTCATCCACTGGCAGCTGTAGGATTTTCATGGGCATTTGGCCTCAGACTCATGTGCTCAATGGAAAGTGAGAAAGAAGTTTCATTCAGCACACAGCATCATAGCTAATATCACCCTAATGAAATTCATGTTAAATCAGAGATACATGAGATGACAGGAGAAGTATGGGGATGCAAAAAGAGACACGTACAATAATGCAGATGAGACAATAAGATAATGCAGAAGATGATGTCCTGCACTGGTTCACTTCTCCCCCAGGAGTAAAATATCTAGTCAGGCAAATAAGGAAATGCAGACCTCAGTGAACTTCCTGTTTTGAGGTTTGGTGTGCAATGACAAACCTATTTGGAAGCAAGTAAAATCTCTCAGCGTGAAAAAAAATTTAACAACTTCTCAACTATGTAGTTTTGATAGTTTACTCTCATTTTCCACAGGATATTGCCTACAGGCATTTGTAGCTGATCCATACCCTTGTCCATAAAAAGCAGACTTCACCCACACTCTTTTTTTTTCATTATAAAGGCAGCAAAATACAATTTGAAAACTATCTCTGTAGCTCTCCTCGCCCACCTGCTTTAGGTCAGCACTATGGGATCCCATATCCCATAGGGCCTAGCAATAATCTCAGTGCTGAAGGATGAGCACAGTAAAACGCCAAAACATATCAGGGAACCAAGTGCCCTTGAGCTCACGGGAGGCCAAGCCACAAGGCAGGCAGGATCAGTGTACTGGTCCACTGGCACAGCTCAAACTGGGCTTCAAAGGGCACAGGAAAAAGAGCTGTGTTTGCTGGACAGCATATGAACATCTACACCGCTTCTCCCCTCCACTACTTTAGCAATCAAGGCTTCTGCCTTCATCACACAGGACAAATCAGAGAGGTGGTCTTGGGGTCAGCAAAAGCAGATGGAGTACTGTATCAGGGATTGTTGATATTTTTTGGTCTGTTTGGTCCAGCCACCTGCAAAAGTTTTGTTCTTTGCCTGCCAAGTTCACTGATAAACGGGAGCTTCATCCTTGGAGAGACAGTTTCTTGTATAAACTGTTTTAATTGATGTTCTGTGATTGGCTCATTGCCTGTAGAGGACATTTGAAGGAGAAACTGAAGAGAAGATGAAGTAAAGCCCCCAGAACCAAACAGATAAGACCCCTTGAGTGAAACAAGCGCATGTGAAAGGAGAGTTCTAAAGTTCTCATGCGTGCGCTGAAGGGCTACACTCACATAACGGGGGAGGGACCGAAGGCCTCTGGCTGGGTGGTGTTGCCACACCGGCCCAGGGAGACGTCACCGGCTAATTGGATGAAAAATGCAGGTGGCTCGTGCTCAGGGCTCTCAAGCTTCACATGAAGGACAATGTTGCCTTCTGCGGGGATGCCTGCTATCTTTGTGAGCCTGCTGACCCTCCGAGGCTGAAGCCTCTGCTATGGGGAATTCTGGTTATTCTGGAGTCAGTAAGACAACCTTGTAAAACACACCTGGGTGAGTGAGGGTTTCACTGAGGGCTTAGTTCACTCCTCTCCTTTCCTGTCTCTCGGGTTCCCATTTACTTGGCCACTTTTGTAATAAATATTGGGTTTATTGCTAAGCTCTCAGCAGTGTCTTGGTTTTCAGTCTCGGCATCCTTTCGAACTCACCCCGTTACAAGTACAATAAGGAATCTTGCTGTATCAAACTCAGTATAAAGAAAAGAAGCACATTTTAACTTTCTGGTTAAGAAGGCATTATAATTTCAGACATCCCTTTCCCCTCATGTCTCCTAATAGTCTCCTAAACAATATACCTGCTTCTAGTGAAACTACTGGTGTTCCCAGCAGGGCCCAAACATAGGAATGTAGGTGACAGATGCTTTCAGAAATCTTCAGAAAAGCCTTCCCAACCACTCTATCCACTGTCCTTTCCTTTTTCTCTCAAGTGAAAGCTATAGCAGACTAATGGAACGCAGCTCAGCTGTGCCAGTCTTTGCCACTCACTGCACATGATCTCTAATCAACTCAAGATAAAAAAAAAAAAAAAAAAACAAAGCAAGCAAGCAAGCATCTTCTCCAAAGTTTTCTTCGCTCTGTGAAGGACATTTAAATAGTACAGCACCAAGAGTGTTGTGTTTGTTCTGAACTGCATGTGTTGATCTGCAAACCCTGTCCTCAGCCTTGCTGTACCAACTGAAATGGCTCAACCTGGAAAAGAGCAATTCATACTTTCCTGTGGATCTACTGATGAAATCTTACAAACTTACTGAGGAGAATCATGTGGTGTTCACAGTCCCAGGTGACTGCAGAACTCATTGCACAGTCTGCTGTCCCAATATTCAGTGAGGATTTGGGGCCTCCACCCACCAGCACTCAGACTGAGTACTGACACTCTTCATGTACTAACTGCATCACCACTTGACCTTCCCACTGCATCATTTCCCCCTTCTTTTTCAACAAGCCTTATATGCAAACAATAACCACAGAAGCATCTCTCAAACCATAAAACCTGCTGCAGCCTCACTGACAAAACCACCGAAGAATGATGGAAAGCATTGTGTTCCCACCATCCAAACAGGATGGTATCTCACCCAGGTCATCAAAAGCCAACCTCAAGATGCAGCTTCTAAAGAGGGTTGTGTATGTACAGATGTCATTGCTTCTGGCAGTTGCTGCTATTTTATGACCTGTTCTCCCAGAGATGAACTTATCCTGCCAGCAACAGAAACCTTCAACCACTGTACTTACCTCTACGGGCTCTGAAGGGGTCTCCAATTTGGATTGTTCAGCTTTGGCTTTTGCCTTCAAATCTGAGATATCTTCATTGGGTTCTTTCTTGGGCTCAGAAGGGGTTTCCAATTTGGATAATTCAGCTATGACTTTTGCCTTCAAATCCAAGAGATCTTCATTAGGTCCTTCATGGTATTCCTCCATGAGAGGTTTGAGTTCCAGGGATTCAAATGGTGCCTGATCTTGGCCATCCATGGGTCTGACATAGGCAGTTGGTTTCTGCTGCATTGCACTGGCTTTTGATGTCAAAGATGGTGGAAAAGTCTGAGAGGAAGGCTGAGTGGTGCTGGTCAAGCTAACAGCTGAGCTGTCCTGACTTTCCTTCTCCTGTGATCCTGTCACTAGGTCCTGAAATGATTTGGTTTGACTGTAGGTCGGCCCATGACTTTTGCTGCTGTTCTGTGACCTGGAATTGATATGCTGGCTGGAATGTAGAGGTGACAGGGGTGCCACTGGAGAAGACAACAAACATGGCAGTAATGGGGAAAGTGGCAAAGGGGAGGCCTGCAGTTCATGAGCATGACCTTCACCATCCCCAGGCTTGTCATTCTGACTGTGCTGAAAACCTGCCTGACTTTCCCGGCCACCCCGATTGCATCCTTGACCTTGGCTCCCACTGTTTGATAAGCTGTGACTCTTGGTGTGAAAACCTGAAGCCAGTTGTGTTCCTGATTGTGCCTTTTGGTAGTGAATGGAGTGGTTTGGAGGACGAGGTGCTATAACCATAGGTCCCACGGGTGGATGGCTGGGCAGGTGCTGGAATGAAGATGGTAATGTATGGCTGGTCTTTCCAGGAAAGTATGGGCAATCAGGTTGTCCTGGTGGGATCAGAGGAGCAACACTTTTTGGAATTCCTATGAGATTCTGACAGGATTTGTTGCTCATGAACTCCTTGACCTCCTCATAATTGCCCAGCATGTTCTGAATTCGGCTTGACAACTCATCTTCTTTATTAGTCTGCAACAGAAGAACAAAGAGATGGAAATTTCAAAAATAGCCCACAAGATCCAGCTCAAAAAGAGACAGTTCTTCAGGATCTTAACTTAATCACCACACATCACCATGAGTGAAGTTAGGTAAGCTCATCTTGATCCTGTAAATCGCTCCAAAGCAAATGGGACTCCTGTAGCCTTTATCAGTTATTTCAAGCCAAGCTTGCAGGTGCACCTATAGCCTTCAGGAACACCAACATCAGATCCATATTTTATAAGCACATCTGAAGACAGACAGGCAGCCAAGCTGCTCCTGAGCACTCTCCCTCAAAGGAGGCCAACCCGAAGTCAATAGTGCTGTTGCACAGCCAACAGAGATTTAAGCACATACTCTGATGAACCAAAGCTAAGCAGATGGGAAGATGCAGGTACAATGCTCGAGTCTGCTACATCCCACACAGAAGCCACAGCTCTCCTCTTCCCCCCAACCCTTCTTCCTCCTCTCCTTCTACCCATATCCCCGTACTATTACCTTGTAGGGTTCTGCAAAGAGGGGAGTCTTCTTTGAGAACTGGTCTTTCTTCTCTAGAACCTCCTGACTCCGTCTCTCTCTCTCTCGAATACGCAGCAAGTTTCTGTCCTCATTGCACAAGCTTTAGGAAGAAGAGAAAGAAAGGATGACTAACACTGTACACTCGTGTTATCAACAACTGTCTGCTTTGTTCAGACAACAGTATATGTCCAGAATGAAAGTAATTTTGTAATTCACAGAGTGGTTACAGCTAAGAAATCAGTTACGTCAAGTATTTGCTGCACAATATAGTAATGTGACACACAAGGTATAGCATGCATCCTTCTCATTGATTTCTTCTCTTGATACCATCCTTCAAGAAGAGTGGGAAGAGAAAAACCCATTTAATCGTGAAACAAATTGAGAAGCAGTCAACAGGGGTCATAAGCACATGAGCTGGCAAATAGATCCACTTGCAGTGATTGATGTGAAAAACTACCATTCTTGTTTTCCTTCAGACTTTTACCCCAACTTGTCACCCAAGAGTAAAAGAGAATCCGCTATTTTGAAGGTGTTGCCGCTTTGAAAGATTGAGCTTTGCCTACTAGGCAAAAAACAAGGCGATACAACTTGGCAATGTATAGGCTCAAAAACTCATTCTCTATTTTACATGGACATCTGGAAAGCTGCATTCCTGGAAAACCATGTAGTTGCATTTAAAACAATCATGTAAACTTATTTAGAAAGAAGGTCTCAGAAATTCAGAAGACACAAGGTTAAACCTCCTGTTCCTCCTCAGCCACATCTGCATGCACTCAATTCCACCGGCACCCATAAAGCCACATCACACACACAGCAGAATGACTTCATGGAAAACCAGATCCTTTCAACTACATCTTATCTGTAAAGTACTACTGCAAACTACAGGAATCACTTGTTCTGGTCTTTATAGACACTGGGGAAGAAAAAGCACACAGGCATCTCCCTTGTCTCTTATGTCTACTCCACTGCACAGTCTAATGTATATGCACAATTCTAATATTCTTCTTCATACACTCAACTTCTCAAGTGCCTGAGTTTGCAAGTGAAGAACCTTGACTTCCCCACCAGTGATATTTTCTCAAATACTACACCAGTAATCAGCTCCTGAAAATTTGATCATCCCTAAAGGATAGGCAGAGGACTGGCTTTGCTGTAGCAGTTAACCAAGAGGTCTGACTGCTGCAGAGGGGGTTTCCCGATCAGTGGGAGCTCTGGAAAATGATGCTGTCTGAGGATAAATTTCTATATATGGAACAGCAGCAAGGATGTACTTGTACCACTAAAACAGAAAAACATATTCATGGGTTAGATTGTTCACGTTTAACATAGTTTCCAACTTTGCTAATGCTGAACTGTTTCCAAATACAGCAAAACAGACGTATCCAGTAAGATCTATGTGTACCCACTTCTGCAAACAATGCAAGCAATTTAAAAAATTTACAATAAAACAAATTTTTAAAAAACAAAACCAAACAAAACTAAACCAAGCCAAACAAACACCAAAAAATCTCAAACAGGAATCAAAGACCATTGCTTCAGTCAATATACATAATCCTTCTGTTACAAACTATGTAATAGAAGCATTTCCTCTCTGCATCGGATGTCATTTTGCATGTGTGCAATTTCCTATCTCTAAGCAGTTAGTAGGTCAGTTGCCCTGTGTGTGCCAGGAAAACTGTGTGCAGTCAGGTTTGGGAGATGCCAACCACAGAAGACAAAAACTTAGGAGGAATTATAAGGCAAACTAGAAGCAATCTTGGCTGTATCTGATACTGTATGCTTGCAAAAGATTTTTTAAGTGAATGCATTTTTTTAAGTCAAAGCCAGGCCACATATTATAACCCTGAAAATTGCCTTCTACTTGAACACTGTCCTACGTCCATGTGGATTATGGATATCTGTCTGTTTCTAGGCTGGTGAGCATCCAGATTCAGAGTGATCAAGCTGTTTAGCTCAGGGGTTCTGTTCTGATCACATTCAAATAAAAGGAAAACTAAACCACTTGAGTCTCTTGTAACGATAATACTAACAATGAGAAGTAGCCATGTTTCCTATACATACCTCAACACTGCATGTAAAACAACTTGCATGTCTCTTGCTGCAAAAACAGCAGCTGTAATATCTCTAAAGGCCTTTTCTTTCCCTGAACCTTCCTTGACCCCAAGCTGTCTTCCTAGAAATAAATCCTTTCTAAAGAGTGTGTGAAGAGAGAGAGAAGGGAGGGACAGAGGGGCAGGGAAGGGACACCACTTTTTTGCCATAATGCCAGTTCCTGCAGGTTTAAGTGAAGATGAAGGTGCCTGTTCCAGAGCAGCCTGGTGGACACAGGTGCTCACACACGTACAGGACTACAGGGCACTGCTTGGCAAGGTTAGTCATGCCTTGGTACCACTGCAGACCACCTCATGCCCTCACGTTGACTAGTGGCCCAGGCTGCTGACCATGCACAGCTGGCTGCCCCTGCAGCCAGGAGAGGGGTCATTCCCCTCCCCTTTCCTGTTCAGGTTCGTCATCCACCCTCTGCCTCCCTGTGTGAGTTGGATCAATTTTTTTTTTGTTCCATAGTTTCCTCCAGCTTCATTGAACAGAAGGAGCTGCAGTTCTAAAAGCAGAACAATGAGGGAAGAAACACTGCGTAGCTACTTACTTGATCATGGAGTTGAGATCAGCAGCCCTCCCTCCCTTAATTTACAGACAAGACCTTAAACTACTTGAAATCAAGAGCTAAAACTCATTTCAATTCCATTTTATCATGTAGGTGCCATGTTCCCATGCATGCCGTCTCATCTCATGCTTGAGACTCAATCTTTTTAAAAGATTGGTTGTATTGCACTAGATGGCGTTCCGAATTCAGAGCAGAAGAATCTGCTGTCTACTGAAATGTCCACTTCTTTATATAAGCCTGTCAATACCCTACTCTCAACAACTGTGGAAACACCATGCCTGCCCACCATTAACCTGGCCATTGAGGGCATTTGTCAACATGCTCTTCAAAGATTTTGAAATCCTGGGCTACCGTGTAACTCGTAACACTGAACAGCTACCTTAAGGTCAGAGTTAGGAAGCCAGGCAGAAAGCCTTGGAGAACCATGGTCAGCTCAGGCCCCTGCAGGGACCTGTGCCAAGAGGAGACGAGGTCTCCATGACCAGCCAGGTGCCAGCAGAGGAAACCCATGCAGAGATACTGCCTGCCCAGCTCCAGCGAGCTGTCCCTTGTGCAGGGACAGACAGAGCCCCAACTCCCCTGCTGCCAATGCTGCAGGGCAAACCCCAGCTCCTGTTCTTCAGGAACCTCTCCAGACTAGCAGCTTTGATATTTAGGCTTTCCTAGAATGGGATCTCCAAAAACCTCAAAACGAAAACCACCCCCAAACTCTTCCTTACTGATATGCAAAAATGCCTTGGGAAACTGGACCTCAAGGCTTAGCACCAACACACCAAGCACATGGGAGCCTGGGAGCTGGGGAACACATGCATAAATCGCCACCACACCAAAAAAAAAAAAACAAACATAACCCAAAAAACAAAACAAACCCCAAATTGTGCCTTGCTACAGACTGAAACAGTAAAATACTCCTAGGCTGTAATAAAGAAATTTGGTTCAGGAAGTTCAGCAAAGCATGCACCCTGACCCACATCATCACCCACACTTGGGTCTGTAACAGAAGCCATGAAAATACCAATGTCCTCTGAAGCCACTCAATGACATACCAGTCCTTACTATGGAGTTCCAAATGCTACTATGTGACAATCCAGCCCATGACAATGTTTTCAAAAAATAAGACTGGTGCAGGAAGAAATTTTGCCTCTCCTGTCCTGTATGTTATCCAAATGAAAACAAAATGAAAATAAAAATATGTTTTAATTGCAAAGATCTAGTGCTGCCAAAGGGAATTATCCAGGAGGAGGGAAGGGGGATGGAGAAAGGCTAAAAAGCAAATACACAAACAAACTCACTTCCTTCTCAACACACAGAACCTTTTCCTCTGAAACACAGAGAGAATATTTGAGTACAACTGCAGGAAACCACAAATTTATTGAAGCTGTTTTGTCATTAAAATTGATTCATTTTTTATCATGAGAAACTGCTGATCAACATTTCTCATGACAGAGATGTATTCTTGTTTAAGGCAAGACACATCGTCCCCAAAACCAGTTAAACAGAAATCGCATGGATGCACCCGTAACAGCCTCTCTGCAGCACCCCAGTTCTGCTGTTCCTAAAGTCTCCATAGAAGAATGGCCACCAATTTATACAGCCTACACATCTGCAAAGATTAAATTTTCAGCCTATCAGCTTGAAAATGCATGGATAATGGCATGGCACAGAAGGTTACTGAGCATTGCAACTGCATTCAGCTCTAACAGTGAATCTGACAATGACTAAGACAAATAGATGAAAGGACAAAATTCCAGTTAATACTAAACAGCATCAAAAATGCGTTGCCCCAACCTTTCCTTCCTTTCTGTTATGGAAACATTGTCAAGTTGTGACTTGCTAAATTTTTTAATTTGTTTCACATCAAACACTATTTCGCAGAAGATACACAGATTGAACATACATAAATGATAGGAGAAAAACATAGGGCAGAAGTGCAACAGATGGTACAGTTAGTTATTTTCTGGATCATCATCAATCAGCCTTGGTAGATGCTTCCCAAAAATAAACATCTTTACACTGAAGCAATAAGAATTGGAATTTGCTTGCCAAGATTATGCTGCTTCTAACTCCTTTAACTCATCGAGTCTCTCCAGCCTTGATTATTGATGGTATGAGAGCAGCATTAGACCCACTGAACAAGAGATCAAGGCCTCACAGCCTGCCTGTTTATCCACAATGGTTGTCAAAAATCTCCTGTCAAATATTTTTCATCACAAATAATGTTCCAAGAAAATGTAGCACTGCTGCAACCTTTCCTTCAAAGCATATGGAAAAATGATTCTGAATACACCTCTTCCCATGTTTTAAATATACAGACCTGTAGGTTACACAAAAAAAAAATGGAGAAGGCTAAGATGTTACAACAGCCAGAAGGGAACTGCCAGTTTGCTTAAGTAAAAGCTAAGTTAGCTTTTGCCAGAAAAAAAAAAGGTAGCTCT